CTTTGAAAGTTCTTCCAGTTTGACTCATATAAAATATCGGACTTTTATCTTTATTATTCTTATTACCTAAGTTGTTGTTGGTTTTGAAAAAAATACTTACACCTTTCCTGTGTAGAAATTCTGAAATATTTGTAGTGGGTTGGTCTAAGTAGGTTAAGGATCTATAACTTTGATCCTCTTCTCTTCGAAATGGGTGAACTTCTTTCAAAGCTTGACTGTATAACATTTTTGATAATAAATAATTTATAAGACTGCTATCGTAATCATTTTTATTTTCAGTTATTATGTTCAGTTCCTTATTGGCATTCTCCTCTGACAAGGGCACATTAAAAGTCTGTGGATCATACTGTTGAATGCTGCTACTTTGTGCTGATACGGGTGGGTGGACTAATCATGAATGATAATATCTGTATGTGCCAGTTTACGATAAATTGAAAAATCATGTTTGTTGTTAACTTTTGTTATTGTCAAGTCCAACAAATTCATAAAGTCGTCCTTTTCCATCTCCATTGTGAATGTGATAGAAGGGTGGAGACAATTGATGAAATTCAAAAAGTCAGTCAAATATCTGTTCGTTCCTGTGAAACATACTAAGATATCATACACATATCTTTACCAATACAAAAAACAGTTTACCAGTGAAATACTGTGTATTTTTTTCTTCAAATCGTCCGTGAACATATCTGCCAAAATAGGACTAAGTGGGTTATCTTTGTGTGATTTAATCAACGAATAAAGTTTAGGAACATGTGGGTTGATGACTAACGATCGGAATTTTTCCGCTTCATCCATGGAACAATTAATATCGTACATTCCAGCATTCAGAAAGTCTAAAGTCTTCTCCACGTATTACAGAGAAGGACATGGGTTCAACCATGAATACCAGCCCCTCCTTTTCCAGAAGAAAGGTTTGAAACTCAACCTGTTGGAGAGTATGGAAATGAACAAATTCAAAAACTCTCAAAATCTTATGAACGATCAAAATTAATTGAATAATTTGCCATTACTGAATCTGTGCATTTCCAGGTAAAAAAAGATAGTTATTTTTACGGTTCTTTCGGCAAATTTATGAATTCATACCTGACCTGTTCAGGTAGATTCATTCATTAGAAATTAGGTAGGTGAGTAGGTAATAAGTTAGAGTATAAAATGGTTGTAATTCAGAAGTAACTTTTAGTTTTGATTTATGCTATTGTATAGCGAAACACGTGTGGCAGTTTCTCTGAAACTATTTATAGTGAAAATCATACAATAAACTGTATCAATTAGTTTCTATCACCATATGTTTCTTACTGATCTGTTTCCATACCAATGCGTTTGCCTCCACTACGGGTGGATTATTGTCAATATACGGAGTTCATGATATATTTCTAGCACACTATCAGCTTTTAATTGCCTGTAATTCTAGAGTCTTTAAGTGCCAAGTCCGCTTTTGCTTTCCTGTTATTGAAAGATATAAAAGAGGTGGATTCGAGTAGGTTGTTGGTTCTCATTGCTTCTATGGAAGCAAGCCTTATTTTGTAAATGACGGTAGTTTCAATATTCTCTTACGTTATCTGTGAATAACTAGTATTGAGCACAGAAATCTAACGGTTGAATTATTAATTTTATCTGACGCCGTCGTGTCGAAGTTCTGTCCTGGAAGGTACAGCCTCCTGGTGAAAATGTACCAAACGTAAGCTAACATTTCGAAAGTTTTCTAGAAAATTCTAGTCGAAATTATATCATTTGGCTAGTTATTAGATTACCAATTCAAAGGAAACGGTTATGCGAGCGAGATGACAAGTTGAAGAAATACCTTTTGAGGATGTTACTATAACATTTTCTGAGGGGGAAACGTTTGTGTTATTGGGGTGATGATAATTTATAGGTAAAACAGAATGTAATTTTGAACAACTGGAGTTTATTCCAACACCAAACCGTTATTTTAATACCTCGTCACATGTTTCGATCACTTAATGATCATCTTCAAGAGGAAGATCGAACTAAAGGTTCCAAGTAGTAGGGTAATTCCGGTGGAGATGGCCCTAGTAACTTTAAAACTCTACTGTGGAAGAATTATAATGAATAAAACATTAATTAATACGAAAACTTAAACTTCACTCATAATTCTTATCAAATATTAAGGATAAATCACTTTGCTAAATGCATTAACGTAATTTTAAACTTATAAAAAAATTAGGACTGGCAATCTTTCCCAGGATGTCCGGGAGTGATAGCCATATCAGTCGAGGAGAGATGGCCAATACTTTTTTTGCCTTTCTTTTTGCCGTTGAGATCTTTTAGCTCCTTTTTTTTTCTATTACCTCAGTATGAACACATGTCCTCAAACTCGGTGCAATTTTCATGCACCCAGAACATGCAAATATTGTATTGTATCCAATCTTTTATCAGTTTGTGTCTTATAATAACACAACACAACAAAGTTTTTGTTTCGGGGTTGAAATTAGATGATTTTAATGTATTTCCACGTGTTAAAACCGAAAGTGACCATAAAAATTATATATTAGCTCTTGTTTTCAAGATATAGTATCATTATATTATATATATGTATATTGAGTTTTCAACAAATGAAATATTTCATCACCAACAGTTGGTACACATGTTTGTTTACATAACACCCCTCTCATCAGCTGTTCTTAAGTAGTAAACATAACCTATGTGAGTTTGTCAATTGTACGCACGTGGTTGCTATTGAAATTATCGTGTG